TATGTAAGTTTAATAAATATCTTTTTGTACTAGCTATCAAGCTTATATCTATTTAAATATATTCATACCAATCTTATCTTATTTTAAGAGATGGATGGACGAGAACTTTTTATATATCAAGGCAACTTGCAAGACACTCATTACACTAACCTCAAAGATGTATAAATTGACACTTCTCTTCCCGAAAAGAAAGACTGAACATATGAGAGCTAGACGTAGGTTTGAGCTCAATTTTTTCTCCCTGTAAATATTGTATTTCTTCATCTTTGTATGTCTTACGGGCAATATCATAGAAATAGTCAGAGATCAATAAAATAACAGTGGATGTAGAAGTCGCTTGTTGAAGCATCCGAACCACTATAAAAACCTTTCTTGTTAGCCTATTATTTATGTTTTCTGTAATATATATAATCTCAGCTCCATATTCAAATCTCATGGATCTATCACGTGTAATTTCTAAAACTCTCTTAGCATTTTACACGTGCGAGTCGTTGGCGTCCAAGATCAAGCGTCAACAGATATAATCGAATTTTTTGTAGGAGGTTTAAAAGTTGTTTAAAATAAATATAGAAAACGTTATCAATCATTCACAAAAAATAATTTATTTGGTATAATAAGCTTTATCATTTAAAATATATATTTTATTTTAAAAGGAAGAAAGATGAAGACGATAAATTTAACTTATTTTAATCTTGTGGAAAAAAAAAAAAAAAGTTGACAATTTTGAAGTTTTACGAAGAATGGAGAAAAAAGGGGGTGTGAAAATAAGATAAGTATATATAATAAATTCATTTTAATGTATAATAACAATTTAACATATAAATGAAGAGTTGATGTGATAAATGATATATCAAGTCACATAAAACAAATTTAAATCTATGTTTTATATGATTATAATAAATGATTAAACTTATTTCTATGTTTTTTTTTTAATTAATAGAGTTTCATAACTTATTATAAAAATTTCAATATGTTATTCTTATACTATATAATTCACATGCATGTAAATTATGCATAAGATAGTTCAATAATCTATATTAGTGTTATTATTGAAATTGGTTCGATAATGGATAACCACTTAAATTGATTTCATTATACTTTGTAGCTTAAGTAAGAGTAAGGTTTAAATTTGGGGTAATATATAAAAGGCTTATACCCATTTTCATGTGAATTATAATTTGATAATATACAAATAACATTTAAAATTGAAATATAGTAATAATATATGAACTACAAGATTATAAACAACGACATATTCTTAGTGATGTATCTCTATTATTGTTGTGCGGTAAAAGTCTCCAGCCCGAGATCAGTTATAGTAATACGCCTCTACTTGATGCAGACACCAAACTCGGGAACGGGGGGGAGCCAAGGAGAGTGTAAACGATCAGCAAACGTATATGAACGTGACCTTGGGCAAAACAGGAAAAGGGGCCCGCCATGCGAAAAGACCACTTCACTTAGCCAAGCCATTTTACCACGTATGAGCTATCCCGGTCGGTGGCACACGGCCAAACAAACTTCACGTGTCTTTCATGCAGCTGAAGCTAAAGGGTAGCCTGTAAAGGCACCTACGGTCAAGAGGGACACCATCATTCTCTATGGGGCAGGGGCATGTGAGCCCCTGGTCGTCGTGCGGCATATGACAACCCATCTGACGCCCTTGTCGTCATGACAGTTCCAGGGTTCCATTTAAATAAAGACAGCCAAAGAAGAAGGGATTCCAGATTTTGGAAGAAAGACCTTAAAAAATCTAGTAGAGGGAAAACCATCTCATGTAACTTAGTTCATACTGACATCTGAATAAACACACCAGTGGATGTAGGCTTTGTTTATTTTCCGGCTGAACCACTCTAAAAATGCTATGTTTTTGCACCGTCATCGGGGAGACCCGCTGCCATCATAATCATCACCATGCATGGATTAGCTCATCTCTGCTGACTCCCCAGAGTCACGCTCATACCTTACTCGGTTACTTCCTTCAGGGTGTTAAAAAAAATGCAAAAGTTGAACCGAAAAACCTATTCTATTACGGTTTAAAGGATTCAAAAAACTGAATTTTAGGTTTAGTTTTCGGTTTGGGTGAAAATGCAAACCCATTAACCAAAACCGGTTACTAATATATATATTAAATTAAAAAAATAATGGATATTATATATTAAAATAAAATAAAAATTAAATTTATTTGTATCAATTTTTAATGTATTGTTAGTTGTGATCAATGGAGATGTATGAATGTTTATTTTTATTTGGATATGTATTGTTGATATTTACAATTTAATTCAGGAAAAATTAAAAAAAAAAAGTTTAATCAAATTTGAGGGAAAAACTGGTTCAAAACCGGTTAACCAGTTTTTTCAAAGCAATTAACTAGTTTTTCGGTTAACTGAAAAACCTATTTTCCCCTAAATTGGTTCGGTTTCGGTTCATGAATTTTCCTAAACAAAAAAAACTGGTTTTGTTTAAAAAAGAGGTTAACCGGTTCGATTAACCTCTTTTGAACACTCGTACATCAATCGAGTATCTTTGGTTGTTATAAGTTATTTGGTTGGTACGAGTTATGATCCCAACATTTTAGTCGGTACGGAATTTCACATCAACAATTATAATATACAATATGCTCAATACTTAATAATATAATACAGTGCGCTAACCATAATTAAATAAATTGTCATTATTTTCAGGATATTTTTGTTGGAATGTGCCAAAATTGGTAAAATAATTCAAGGAATTTAGAAGTGGGCTATTTCTAGTAAAAACCCCAATTTATAATTTATATAAATGAATTTATATATGTTTAGTTATACATGTAACCTTAGCTTATGTTTTAACATTTAATTAGATGTCATGCATGTATAAAAAAAAAAAAAAAATGCATAATTAATCGAGAANTGGTAAAATAATTCAAGGAATTTAGAAGTGGGCTATTTCTAGTAAAAACCCCAATTTTTTGTCACGCCAGTTTTCATATTTCTTCCTAAATTTAAGGGATATGTAGAATTAATATTAATATTTGTATATTACTTTTTATAATAATTTTTTTTTTAGGTAAATGAGATATCCAAACCTATATTGGACTCTAATTACAAGCTCAATAAGCTAAAATAATTATACAAATATGGTATATACCGCTCATATGACTCGGACACAACACAAGACTTCTTAAGTATAACTAATTTTAATAACTAAAGAGTTTACCTTCTAGCCATAAGGAAAGATGTTACTTTTTACATATTTTTATAATGTACTTCACTATTTAGCAATGTTAAAAATTAAAAAAAAAAATGTAAAATTTATATAGGTAATATTATACTTCTTAAATAAAATTCTAAATTTCTCATTCAAATGATGTGTAGTCTTACCTGGTATTGACATATGACTTTATTTACGTTTTCATCCTTAAGGTTTGGAGAATATTACACTAACCATAAGATAGGAACAATTTATTCTAGTCTACGAGACTTTTCAATAACAAGTCTATAATACCTAAAATTATCTTATTCACATGTTATTATAAATGATCAAAATTATAAATATAAGAGGACACATTATTGGCATGAGAAATCATTTGGGAAATGTAATTATAAAACATAATACACATAACATAATCAAATATACGTAAATAATATTAACGAAGTTAGAACATTGTACATTAAATATAAGAATAAGTAACATTGAAAGTGAACCTTATAAAATAAAATATAAAATTTTAAAATCGATAGGTATGTATCTACATAATTATCCATAGAGTAGTGGAAGAGTTCTGATACTTATATAATTTATATAAATGAATTTACATATGTTTAGTTATACATGTAACCTTAGCTTATGTTTTAATATTTAATTAGATGTTATGTATGTATAAAAAAAAAATGCATAATTAATCGAGAAACAAGTTAGTTTATTCCTATGGTCAAAATTTTGTCTATTCTCATTGGAATATTAAATATTAGGGAAACGTTTAGTTCCAACAATATTTTATTATAAAAAAGATAGGATTACTAGTGAGATAAATAACTTTAAAAATTAATGGGTATAAATTAAAAAAATAAGAGTATTTGTGTCCGGAATTTTTATTAAATAAAGGTAAAATTGGAATAAAAGTGGATTGCGTGCTGAACCAAACAAAATAATGATCAGATTAAAAATAGATCAAGGAATTGTTATTAAAAGAATAATATGGTCTTAAATTTAGAGAATCAATATCTGGTATACTGTCTTCATATGCATTCAATACTTATCATATATAATGCTTTCCCTCTTCATTTGTTTCTTAACTATTATCAGTCCATCTACGGAAATATCAAATAAAAAAAATAGACAGAATTCACAGAGAAATATTTTGACACACAATATGTTTACAATTTCTAGATTAAATTCGCTCAAGGATGAAGACTTAACCCAAAATTAGAGAATTTTTTCTTCACTATATTGTGAGGCACCCAATTTAAATCACTTCAAACAACAATTTAGAATCGAAGAAGATCGATCAATATACTTTACTACTTTCAGATAACATGAAACGGAGCTGTATCAAAGGTGAACATGACAAATATCGAGCTCTTCACAGAGAATCTTTGCCACCTGCTGCCGAACCAAAAACCATTAGTGGTCTTGTGTCAAAGATTTGAGGTCTGGCAACCATACAACATACGAATGCAGCCAATATAAAAAAGAACTTACTCAAAAATCGATGAAACTTTTAGCCCCTGGAAAAGGATATGGACGAGAATGAACCATCTTCCGCATCCGAGAATATACCAAACTCCGCATGCAATTTTTTCAGCAAAACACCACCACTTACCCCTATCGAATCTATTATGTGTTAACAAGCCAGGGCTTATACAGCGATACACTACACGTAATGACATTTTCGCATGCATGAAAACCAAAATACTTGAACAAAAACATTCGCCACGTTCCGAATCATCTACCACTTTTTTCACCTATAAATACCACCCTCTGTAGTCATCTTCTTCACAACAATCTCTGATTCTATTCTCTCTACCTAGCTAATCATGGGTTACTCTTCTTTGCTCTCTTTTAGTCTTGGCTTTCTTCTTCTCTTTCATTGCAGTTTTGCTCAGATAGAACAGGTTGTAAATTCACAGCAACGACAACAGCAGCAACGCTTCCAGACTCAATGCCAAATCCAGAACCTCAATGCTCTTGAACCCAAGAGGAGGATTGAATCTGAGGCCGGTGTTACCGAGTTCTGGGACCAGAATGAGGAACAACTACAATGCGCTAATGTCGCTGTGTTTCGCCACACTATCCAGAGCAGAGGACTCTTAGTCCCTTCATACAACAATGCTCCTGAGCTAGTCTACGTTGTTCAAGGCAAATTCAATGCTTATTTTTTCTAACGTTAAGATGTGATATACATCTGTAATTACATTTTGATATTATCCTAACATATGAAAATAACATTTTTGTAATGGTCAATTCAGGTAGTGGCATTCATGGAGCTGTATTCCCAGGTTGTCCTGAGACATTCCAAGAAGAATCACAGTCACAGTCACAGTCACGGTCACAGCACTCAAGATCAGAAAGGAGTCAGCAATCAGGAGAACAGCACCAAAAGGTCAGGCATATCCGGGAGGGTGATGTCATTGCATTGCCTGCAGGAGTAGCTCACTGGATTTATAACAATGGCCAGTCCAAGCTTGTTTTGGTCGCACTTGCGGACGTTGGCAATTCCGAGAACCAGCTCGACCAGTACCTTAGGGTAACAAAATCAACATTAATTCTATGAATTTACTTAGTATATATAGCAATATTGTCTATAATTCTGTAAATTATTCATTTTGAAGAAATTCGTCCTTGGTGGAAGCCCACAACAAGAAATTCAAGGTGGTGGTCAGAGCTGGAGCCAAAGCCGAAGCAGCAGAAATGGCCAGCAAGGACAGCAAAGCAACAATATTTTGAGCGCCTTTGACGAGGAGATACTCGCACAATCTTTCAACATTGACACTCAGCTAGTCAAAAAATTGCAGAGAGAGGAGAAGCAGAGGGGCATTATTGTCAGAGTCAAGGAGGATCTTCAGGTACTATCACCACAGAGACAAGAAAAAGAATACTCCGATAATGGGTTAGAGGAAACCTTCTGCACAATGACGCTGAAGCTCAACATCAATGACCCATCACGCGCTGACGTCTATAACCCACGTGGTGGACGCGTTACCAGCATCAATGCCTTAAACCTTCCCATCCTCAGATTCCTCCAGCTTAGCGTTGAGAAAGGCGTGCTTTACCAGGTAATTAAGAAAAAATAATAATTTATTCTATCCACTTTCTCCTTATAAACCCTAATGCAATTCTTCCTTAATTAATTGATAACCTTATTGATTTTTATGCATGCAGAATGCTATCATGGCACCACACTGGAACATGAATGCCCACAGCATAGTGTACATCACAAGAGGCAACGGCAGGATGCAAATTGTCTCGGAGAATGGAGAATCCGTATTCGACGAGGAAATTCGTGAGGGTCAGCTGGTGGTTGTTCCACAAAATTTTGCAGTGGTGAAGAGAGCAAGCAGCGATGGATTCGAATGGGTATCATTCAAGACCAACGGACTTGCCAAGATTAGCCAGCTGGCTGGACGTATCTCAGTGATGAGAGGACTACCACTGGATGTGATACAGAACTCGTTTGATATTTCCAGGGAAGATGCCTGGAACTTGAAGGAGAGTAGGTCTGAGATGACAATTTTTGCTCCAGGTTCAAGATCACAGAGGCAGAGAAACTAAGCTAAGTGTGGTGTGTGATGGTAATCAAAGTCTTGTACTTAACGTACGCTATATATGTATGTAGAGGTAAGACTATGAAATAAACCCTAAGTGAGCATCTTGATCTTAGCTGCGGGAGAATGTACTCAAGTTTTATGGACAAGTTCAATAAATAATAATGTTTTCTCTTACCAATCAAAAATATGTTTCTTCTGTCATCTCTAACCTCTCGCTGAATTTTTATAATTTGATTTTTCATTTTGCGCTTTTGATGCGTCAAATGATGAGGCTCAGCAGTAGTTGGCTCAGCTCAATAAAATTGATATGAAACACAGAATTTTGCAGTAATTAATGAAGACTAATTAGGCAGGAAGGCAATAGGAATTATAGGATGATTAGTTGAAGACCGAGAACAGCATGATGATGAATAATCCATTTTATAGAAGGATATAAGTGATCTACTACTAGATAAGACATGTCTAAAATAAGTAATACAAATTGTGCTAACTTATGAAATCCCAGCCACAAGGGATAGCGAGAGGTGACTTGATTTAAATTTGTAAATTTGAATTTAAAAAAAAATGATATATTTAGAAAATATAGTACAAAAGCGAAAAATAAAAATAGCATATTTAAAAAATAAAAAGGGCTAATTGAAACAGAGAGCCTATAATAAGTAGATTGTAAAAGAGCCATGAATGATTTGAATTCATCAAAACTCTTTTTAACCTCTTATTGAAAAAATATAATTTTTATATATTTTTTCTAACTCATTCTAAAATATCTTCTTTCTAATCTTCTAATTGATGAAAGACTAAGCTATTTAAGTTTAAATAATCTCACCTTTTTAAATAAATATATTTTTTTTAAGAAAAAGTTAAAAAAGTGGTGCGATGAACTCATCAAAAAATATATTTTTTCAAATGTAACATAATCTCACCTTTAAATAAATATATTTAGTTAAAAGGAAGAGTCCGCTATGCATGAAACTTATATGTAAAATATAAATGTATTATTTTTTCTTTCATCCATCTTTTTATCTTTAACAATAAAAGCGATCAACAGTCTTTAAAATGATGTGGTCAACATAGCACAATCTTATACTCCCTTCGTTTCTTTTTAAGTGATGTAGACCTTGCACAATTTTTAAGAAAACAAATTTCTCTCTCTTCTCTTCCCATACTGTCTCTTTCACTGAAATTGTAGTGAGAAAATTTTGATTCTCTCGCTGCTCTTCACTTGCATTTAAAAAAGAAAGAGAGAGAGAAGATAAGGGACAGACATGGAAAAAGAGAGAGTGGAAATGAGGGCAAAGAAAATTGAAATACAAAGGATAGGGGAATTCATCGAGGAAGAAAGAGAGGACGGAGTAGTCAAATGACTTTTATTTTGGCAAAAAAATACTTTCCTAAAACGTCTATTAAAATGAAACGGAGGGAGTATTAGCTAAGTGCTTTATATGATATCTTCATAAAATGATAATGTTAGAAGATATACAAGTCCTCTAATTTTTATATACAAATTAATATAACATAAATTAGTGGATTAATACAAATAAAAAGATACTAAATATTTAGTAAATAGAAATAAAAAAAAATGATAATAAGAAATAATATCAAATAATTAATTTTGTGTATTCTCACTCATTTACGATTAGGCTAAATAAGCAGTAATTTTCAAGTTATTGAAACATGGAAATTAATACAGACAATATCAGGAAGAAGGTACACAAAGATCGAAGAAATCTAGAACACGTCATATGGAACTTTCGGCATTCGAATATGTTCCATTGCCCCCAGAGACTCGAAATCCATCTACATTCATTCGATAGAATGAATATTCCACGTACCCAAAACAATCTATTATGCGTAAGCAAGTTAACCTCAGCAGCAATGCATAACATTTCCATATGCATAAAAACCAAAACACTTGAATAAAACCATTCGCCACGTCCTGAAGCTTCTAATATGTTTTTTACCTATAAATACCATCCCTCTCTACTCCTCTTCTTCACAATTAAAGCTTCTCTTTCTATTGTCTCTAGCTACAATGGGTTTCTCTTCTTTACTCTTTTTTAGTCTTGGTTTTCTTCTTCTGTTTCATTGCAGTTTTGCTCAGATAGAACAGGTTGTAAATTCACAGCAACAACAACAGCAGCAACGCTTCCAGACTCAATGCCAAATCCAGAACCTCAATGCTCTTGAGCCCCGGAGGAGGGTTCAATCAGAGGCTGGTGTCACCGAGTTCTGGGACCAGAATGAAGAACAACTATACAATGCGCTAATGTTGCTGTGCTTCGCCACACTATCCAGAAGAGAGGCCTCTTAGTGCCTTCATACAACAATGCTCCTCAGCTTGTCTACGTTGTTCAAGGCAAATTGATAACTGGTTTTTATATTTCTGTAATATGTATTTACATGTTAATATGTTACTAACATATTGAAATATATATTTGTTACGGTCAATTCAGGTAGGGGTATCCATGAAGCTGTATTCCCGGGTTGTCCGGAGACATTCCAAGATGAATCACAGTCACAGTCCCGGTCAAGGTTCTCAAGATCAGAAAGGAGTCAAACAGGAGAGCAATACCAAAAGGTCAGGCATATCCGGGAGGGTGATATCATTGCATTGCCTTCAGGAGTAGCTCACTGGATTTATAACAATGGCCACTCTCGGCTTGTTTTGGTCTCACTCGTCGACGTTGGCAATTCCGAGAACCAGCTCGACCAGCAATCGAGGGTACAAATTAATTCTACTTTAGCATTATCAGAATTTTGTTCATGGATAATTTATTCTTTCATTTCGATGTGTGTTTGCAGAAATTCTTCCTGGGAGGAAGCCCACAACAAGAAATTCAAGGTGGTGGTCAGAGCAGGAGACAAAGCCAAAGCAGCAGAAGAGGCCAGCAAGGACAGCAAAGCAACAATATCTTAAGCGCCTTCGACGAGGAGATCCTCGCACAATCTTTCAACATAGACACTCAGCTAGCCAGGAAACTCCAACGAGAGAAGAGGCAGAGGGGCATTATTGTCAGAGTTCAGGAGGATCTTGAGGTACTAACACCACACAGACAAGAACAAGAACTAGAATTCGAAGAAAGAGAGCGAAGACAGAGAAACAATAATAGGTTAGAGGAAACCTTCTGCACAATGACACTGAAGCACAACATCAATGACCCATCACGTGCTGACGTCTATAACCCACATGGTGGACGCATCACCAGCATCAATGCCTTCAACCTTCCCATCCTAAGATACCTCCAGCTTAGCGCAGAGAAAGGCGTGCTTTCCAGGGTAAGAAGATAATTTAAGTCATATAGCATATCACAGTGCGCGTGTCCAAATTATTTTGAAATTGAATTTGCTAACTTTTACTTGCAGCTTTCAGAATGCTATCTTGGCACCTCACTGGAACTTGAATGCCTACAGCGTAGTCTATGTCATAAGGGGCAATGGCAGGAAGCAAATAGTCTCGGAGAACGAAGAGTCGGTATTCGACGACGAAATTCGTGAGGGTCAGCTGGTGGTTGTTCCACAGAACTACGCTGTGCTGAAGAAAGCAAGCAGCGACGAATTCGAGTGGGTATCATTCAAGACCAATGGACAGGCAAAGACCAGCCAGCTGGCGGGACGTGGCTCAGTGTTTAGAGGGATACCATTGGATGTGTTGTAAACTAAGCCTAATCTATCAAAACTAAACACCAATACTCAAATAAAATCAAACAGCAAAAGAATCAAGTAATACACAACGATATACCGTGGTTCGCTTGTTCAATATAAAATAAGTTACATTCACATTGAGCTCCAAAATATGGAGCTCGCTGCACTATGATTAATTACTTCTAATGATACAGATTACAATCGAACCCCACTCTCTGCCAACAACACAATCAATCACTCACTCCTCTCCCCTTTATACCCGCAAACCTGTACAACTACTAGAGTGCTTACTACCCTTAAAGGAACTCCCAGCCCTCAATCTAGACTCTATATAGATTCACACAAAGAAGAACCAATTGAGTGACAAACCCTAACCCCAGGTTTCTATCGTGTTTTACAGAGAAAATAAATGAAAACAGACTATAGCAAAACTAAGAAAAACAGCCTCTTTTATATCGTTGACCACTAAGTGAACTGAAGCAGTTAGATCTTGCTTCACTGAAGGGCTGAGATCAACTTGAGTTTAATGAGCAAAATGGCAGCGTTTTACTTGGCTTTAAACGACATTGCAGACTTCACCATTTAACAATTTCCACCTTGAAGTCTGTGGCTGTTTCTCTAGCAATATCTTCTTCTGTGCAACAAGCATTATCCATATTCATTCTTGGCTCTAATTGGTTATTCCACATGCAATAAGTTCAAGCAGTGATTGAACTTTGCAAGTGTTACACCCTTGGTTCCCATGTCAGCAGGATTATTTTCAGTTGGGATCTTCATCAGGTTCACCTCTCTTTTTGAGATCATATCCCTTACAAAATGGTACCTCACATCTACGTGTTTGGTCCTCTCATGGTATACGGGATTCCTTCCCAAGTGAATGACACTCTGATTGTCTGAATAGACAGTCACTGTTCCATCCAGCAGCTTGGCCTCTTTCAGGAATCCTTGAAGCCATATGGCTTCTTTGAATGCATCTGTTACAGCCACATATTCCGCTTCAGTTGTGGACAGTGCTACCAGTGGCTATAATTGAGACTTCTAACTGATACAGTTACCTCCCAGGGTAAAGTGATAGGCTGTTGTGGACTTCCGTGAGTCTCTATCACCTGCAAAATCAGAGTCTACATACCCAACCAGATCAAGTGAGGAGTTTCTTTTACAGAAATTTAAACCAATATGCACAATACTTCTAATGTATCTAATAAGCCATTTTAAAGCACTCCAGTGTTCACATCCAGGGTTTGACATGAACCTACTTAGTAGTGATATTGAATAGGATAAGTCAGGTCTTGTACTAATCATGGCATACATGACAGAGCCTATTGCATTTGCATAGGGTATGGATTCCATCTTTAACCTTTCAGATTCAGTTTTTGGGCTTTGAGCCTTACTAAGGATGAAATGACTAGCTAGAGGCATTGTGGCACATTTAAAGTCATTCATTCCAAATTTTAGCACTAGTTTCTGCAGGTAAGGCATCTGATGGAGTTTTAAACTGCAATTTTTATATTTCTCTCTATTAGCATTCCTAATATCTTCTTTG